ACTTTTGCTTTTTTTGTAAACAAAATATATACAATTAAAATAAACTTTAATTTGTAGATTGTAGAGCTTTTCATCCTGCATGTTATGGTATATTTTGTTTTTTTAATAAAACGTATTTAGAGATTAAAATATGAAATGCAAAGTGCGGCCATTTATTATGGGACACTCGTTATTTACATTTTACAGCTTTTTGTATGTCTTTAGTTTTCGTCTTTTTTCAAATATATCTAAAACTGTTTTTGAGCTTACTCATATATGGTTTTGTAGAGAATTCCAAGCGATATCTTTTGGTAATAAAGAGAGCTTTAATTACAGGGATAATAGAGAAGAAATCTTAAAAATACTGAGACACCCATTATTTCTGGGACACCCGTTAGTTTCAGGTTCCTAGAAATGAATATCCATATAGAGTACCGGGTTCTCCAGGACGAGGAACCGACATGGGGTTCCGGATTCCTGGGAACCCGGGAACTCCATGGGTTCCGGGTTCCTGAGAACCCGAGAGCCCAAACCTCATACGGTTCCCGGATGCCCAGGAACCCGAACCATATGTGGGTTCCCGTTCCCGTTCCCGGGAACCCAGAACCAGAATGGGCTCCGGGTTCCTGGGAACGGAACCCGAAACTGACACCCCTGATTGTAGCGTCAGCTTCTTGACACAATTTCAATACTTCATTGAAAAAGCTATGAATAGATTGATTTTCACCTTGAGTATACGACTCTAATTTCTTAAAAGCTAATTCGCTCTGAAAAGATGATGTGAAAGCCCTTTTTGATTCTTCAACAAAAGCTTTCCACGAAGTGAATGAAGAACTGTTGTTTTTAAACCACTCCAAAGCATCACCTCGTAACGAATAAGAAATTATATCTAATCGAATATTATCCGGTATATGTGCTATATTTAAAAAGTGTTTGATGTCTTCGATCCATTTATTAACATCATCTTTATTGCCTTTAAATGTCTTTGGATTTTTGATTAAATCTCCAACGATGGCTTTACGTAGATCACTTAAAGTTTGATCAGATTCAGGATTAACAGAACTATCAAGAACTACTGCTGGCTTTGTGGCTGAACTCTCACCAATGTTATTGGTGGCTTCAATATTCATAGTAACATCACTAGTAAATATAGATGATTGACCCATTACATTAGATGCGCTGCTACTATTGGTACTAGATTGATGTATGCTATTTGCTGATTTAGATTGGCAAAATGTACATGTTTCGCATGATTTACTATCTACAACTGGTAGAGATTTAGGTGCATTCAATGAGCGATCCTCTGCATCAT